CTTTTTTGATACATCATTGTTGACAATAGTTACATGTTTGAACAATAGTTTCAAATATTGATAATCAACACTAAGTTTTAAAAAGAAATTTTCACATTAAAGAATAACTTTTGGTATTTATAAATGTTTATTTGTCATTAATAAACAGTGTACTGTTTTACACTTTTCTATAAGTCTCCCTTTGACAGTTGTGAATATTTATAATGCAGTAATATAGAACATAATGTTACAATATGTGTTTCTTATTGTTATTGTGCTTACAATATATTAACCTAGTCTGAAATGTTTAATAAGCACCTTTAGATGTCATATGTACGTGAACTGATTTGTCTCATTATTTGGTAAGAAACTGGACTGTTTTGTCTCTTTCTCGTCCTTAGTTATTGCATAATAAACATTTATTAATGATTTATAAAGTGTTTACAGATGAATTAATATAATATCTATAAACTCTTTATAAGGCCTCTATAAGGGGAGCCTTGTTGTAAAGTTTATTAAAATTAACTCTATGTAAATAACAATGCCTATCAACTCATACAGTCTGTGGTTTAAGCTGTATCTTTTTTGAGAGTTAAAAAAATGCAGTTTTTACCATCATATGGTCTAAAATCCTGTGTGATTTCTGTGGTGTGTACCTCCAGATTTCGTACTGTCGCTAGGTGGCGATAATGAGCCTCTCAGTTGTTTCCTGAACTCTAACATGGAAAATCAAAGTAGTCCAAAGGGCGGAAGTTATGTTTAATTCTGTGGTGTTTCGCATCGAGACACATGAGAATCTATGAGCTTTCTCATGTTAGCAAAACACTGTCCATTTTAAGGTATGATGTCGTAGATAATAACTGGTTTAATGTCAGAAAACTGATCGTCGCTGTTCATTGCATCTTGTAGCTGCGCTAACGTGTTAGCAACAACTGCTAGCCACCGTTAGCTGCATGTTGTACACATCGATTATTATTATTTCTGCAGACAGGTTAAGTGTTTAGGGTTGCATTTAAACACCCGGCTTCTATATATATA